ATCTTGGGAAAACGTAGATGGCATCATGTCCCCACCTGCTTAAACTCCTTTTAAGGTTCTCAGTTGCACTCAGGAGAAAATCCACACCTTTCAACATGGACTCTAAGGCCTTATGTGACCTTGCCTCTGCTGACCTCTTTGCCTCCTCTGATGCTGCCCTTCCTCGTGGGCTTGGAGGCAGAAGATTGGCTAACATATTTAAGATGATGTCTCTGGGGGTTAGATGCAGCGTTCATGCCTGTAATCCTAGCACTTAGGGAGCCCAAGGCAGGAGGATTTCTTGAGCTCAGGAGTTCAAGATCAGCCTGAGCAAGAGTGAGACCTCATTTCTAGTAAAAATAGAAAAATGATCCAGGTGGTATGTGGGTGCCTGTAGTTCTGGCAACATGGGAGGCTGAGTCAGGAGGAACACTTGAACCCAGGAATTTGAGGTTGCTGTGAGCTAGGCTGATGCCATAGCACTCTAGATTGGGGTAACAGAGTGAGACTCTGCCTCAGAAAAAAAAAAAGGTGTCTCTGGAAAGCTTACAGTGTAGTTGGGGCCCAGTTCTAATTTGGAGAAAGAGTGTCAACAAATAGCCGTGCCTGATGGCAGCTATTTAGGCACAAACCCAGTGATGGAGGTAGGAAGATGTGTGAGAGCCATGGGAGTCTTATGGGACCATTAGAGTGGAAGGACCCAGGACTCTATTGTGTACCACTGCAGCTTAGTATGTGGCACGGTGGCTGCCATACAACAGGGGTCAACACATACTTCCTGAGTGACACAATACAGGAGTGAATGAATGACATGATTCCTGCCTTATAGACCTCACAGCCTGGCGGGGGCGGGGGGACTAACAAGTAAAGAAATGCTTGTTTGTATGATGTATGATGGCGGGCACTGTACACTCAGTGTGCTCTAAAGGGTACGTGGTCAACGATTGTCAGTTCTGCTTGGGCTGAGGTCAAGAAAGATTTCAGACAAGGAGGTGACACTTAGCTGGGACTGGAAGGAAAATTATGGATGAGTTCAGAGAGCTGAGCAGGAAGCAAGTGCCCCAGGTTGGAGATACTACAGTGTCGGTGGGTGAAGAGTGGGGTTCATTACTGGTAGGAGCCTCTAGAGCACCAGAGGTTACAGCATGGGATCAAGGGTCAAGTTTTGTGTCACAGGGCTTGCTTTGTGAGGGGAGAAGGGGAAGGGACTGGATGGTAGGTAGTGGGTTGTCAGGGGACATGGGTAGAAGGAATGCTAGCTGGATTACTAAAGGCAATTTAGGGACGGTTTGAGTTTTGACTGGGCCTTGAAATGTAAAACCATGGACAGAAAGTAATACGCTAATAAAGGTCATAATTAATATTGATGAGAAGACAGTCACCAATGATGTGGATCACTCAGGAGGTGCAGGAGCCAGGCACATGAGGAGGTATGTCTGACTCTCCAGTGGGCCACTTTGTTCTTACCCTGTCACAGTGAGGGGGAGGAAGTGATCCAAGGATGGGAATCAGGGGAAGACCTCCCAGCTCATGCTGGGTGGGGGCTGCCTATGCTATGCCTGCCCTCCATGCTGGCCCCCTGCCAGCTGGTAGAGGGCTGGCCTTGAGAGGAAGCCCTTCCTCCTTGAAAGGCCACAGGTGCTCCCAGGAATGCTGGCCCCCAGGAAAGGTGGCTTTGCCTGAGGTCTGTGAAGGTGGAAGCCTGAGTCTCAAACATCTGTCCCTCTTTGCTTCTCCTCCGCCCAGATACCACAAAGACAAAAACACTGGGACTGTGAAACGGTGGTCTATAGGGCTGGGGGACTCAAATTAAGTGAGTGTCTGTCTGGAAAATGCTTGTCCAGGAAGAACAGGTGACTGGGATGTGTGGGCAGCCTTGATGGAGGACAGGAAGCCAGAGCATGGCAGTCTGGGGGAACATGGCCAAGATGAGACATCCCCCCTTCTCTGTTTTGGGAAAGGATAGAGTATATGAATGATTTTTGGATCTCTCTCTTTTTCAGTCCTACTCCCCAGACCCCCTGACTGCCTATAACCACTCACAGTTTAGTGCACTCTTCACCCACCTGTGCTGTAGTGTCTCCAACCTGGCCACTTGGTTCCTGCTCAGCCCTGTGTGTCTCATCTTAGTGGGCATAAGCATGGCAGGGGATGTCAACGGCTTCCATAGTTAGTAATAACAGTCGTGACCTTCTACTGAGCCGGCTATTGTTCTGAAGCCTTTCCATTCACTGACTCATTTCATCCTCTCAGTAACTCTGAGGTAGGTACTTGTCCCATTCTCCTTCCCATACACATGGAGACTGAGGCTCAGAGAGGTGAAGCAATTTGCTCAAAGTCACAGACAGAAGTTATAGAGCCAAGACTGGAAGCAGGCAGTGTGGATCCTGACATTATCCATTCTAGGGGAGGCCCTGAGGCAGGGCATGGAAGGCTCTCAAGACCCAGGAAACCAGTGAAGAACGTGGCCAAGAGTCCGCTGTTGAAGCTGTGTTCCCTGACCTGGGTGTGAGGAGGATTCTAGCTCTGTTGTAGGGATGCAGGATGCTGGGTGAGCACTTTACACTTTCAGAGCCTTTGTTTTCTCATCAGTGTAATGGGAGAATAATCACTAACCTGATTGTGAGAAATAAATAAAGGAGCATGTAAAAGTGCCTGATGAATGGGGGCAGGGGCTAGAACTATGAGTCCCTTTTCCTTCTCTGCTGGGGAAACGTGACTTCAGTCTAGGCTCAGTTTCTCCTTCCTTCCTTTCCTTCTGAGACAGAGTCTTATTTTGTCACCCCAGGTAGAGTGCCATGGTGTCATAAGCTCATAGCAACCTCAAACTCAGGCTCAAGCGATCCTCTTGCCTCAAGAGTAGATGGGACTACAGGCACCTGCTGCATGCCCGGCTATTTGTAGAGACGGGCTCTCATTCTTGTTCAGTCTGGTCTTGAACTTGTGAGCTCAGGTGATCCTCCGGCCTGGGCCTCCCACAGAGCTGGGATTACAGGTGTGTGCCACCACGCCCAGCCGTTATCAAACTTCGGGTCAGTCTTTCTTTTCACAAATATGTATAGAGGGCCTACCAGATATCAGATCTTTTGCTAGGCCCTGGGAAATACACTGATGAAGGAAGACACTGGAGCAACATGGGGTGGTGACATGACCCAGAATGACAAAAATAGATTTTTAACTCATCCACAAGAAAGAACACAATGCTTGGTAGATGAGTGCTGTCTTCAAAGCAGCAACCTCACAAGGCTGCAGAGTTGTTTCAGAGACGTGGATGCTCCACCATGGCCTGGTGCAGGTCCCATGTCAGGGGGTGCTGGAGCAGAAGCTGGCCTTTTAGGAAAACTGGAAAACCAAATCTCAGAGAAGGAAACAACTTGCCAAAGTTATATAGCTACTCAGGAAAAACACAGACCTGGAAGCTGGTGGTGGTGGTGGGGTGTCTTGATTTCTGATTTGGAGGTCTTCACCCCCACAAGAAGCTCTGTTACCCTTCTTTTATCCTCACATGCTGCATTGGAGTTAGAAGATTCTTTTTTTATTTTTATTGTTTTGAGACAGTCTCACTCTGTTACCCCAGGCTAGAGAGCCATGGTGTCAGTGTAGCTCACTGGAACCTTGAACTCTTGTATTCAAGAGATCCTCCTGCCACAGCTTCTGGAGTAGCCCAAACTACAGGCACAAAGTGTGGCTAATTTTTTCTGTTTTTAGTAGAGATGAGGTCTCACTCTTGCTCAGGCTGATCTTGAACTCCTGAGCTTGAGAGATCCTCTTGCTTCAGCCTCCCAGAGTGCTGGGATTACAAGTGTGAGCTACTGGGCCCAGCAGAGATAGACAATGCTGCTCTCATCTGTAGCCACAATTTATTCAAGTCTTTGGTTCAGAATGGCTTTGGACTAGAGTGCTTTTTTTTTTTTTTTAAACAACTAAGCCCACCTCAGGAGGGAGCTGGGGATGTCCTGTGGAATGTGCCCAGGCATCTGCCTTGTAGTGTGGTAGTGGCTGGGCTTGGAGTGGGGGTTTGAGTGCATAAAGATGACCACCAAGCAAGTGCTGGTGTCCAGTATTTGCATTTCCACATGAACTTTACACAGACAAGGGCCAGCCATTTTCTGGGGAAAGAAAAGGTCTGAGACGAATGACCTCTCTTATTCAGGACTTTTGGCTTTTCTTTTCTTTCTTTCTTTCTTTTTTTTTTTTTTT